TCATCATTTACCCAGAATGCTTTGCATGTAAATAAAATGGCTCCGTCTGTGTAATATATTTTTAAACTTTTAGTTTAAAATTTATAAAAATTAAACAGCCTACAGTATTTTTACAGTTATTATTTTACAGTTAAAATATATGTTTATTAAATAAAGTCTAATGTTACAACTACAGTAATCATGGATCCCTTTGACATAAAAAAAATCCCAAGACAAGGTTCTATTAAACAGTAAATACTACAACTGTGTGCTGTCAGTYCCTCACCATCATTGAATGTTTAACGTGTTTGTTGTGGACACAGTCCTAAAGAAATCTGGTCATTTCTTCCTGTTCCTTTTTACAATTTAAACCTTGTATTTTTTTTAATCTCTCCTGCATTCATCCTTTATCACTCTCCCCTCCAGGCCACCAGATCGGCGCCGCAGGGATCTGTTCGGAGTGGCGAACTCGACCCGGCCTCGCCGGCCCCAACCGCACACCAACAGCAGCTCCGTCCCTCCGCTCCAAGCCGCCGGCAACAGCAGCATGGCCGACTATGCCGAGCGGGAGTACGATTTCGTGGAGCAAGCGGTGACRGATCGGGAGCTGCAGATCTCCGGCCTGAAGCCCTTCACCGTTTATCGCATCGACATTCACGCCTGCAACCGACAGGTGCAGCGCTGCAGCGCCGCCGAGTTCGTCTTCTCCAGAACCAAACCTGCAGGTTAGAGGAGAAAACATCTATTTACAGAAACCCGATCATTAATAATTTCAGACTGGTACGGTCTCAGGTGTTTCGTTCTGCTAAAACGCCGCAGGCAGCWGGTGAATACCAGGTTTAACTAGCTGCCAAAGACAGATGCATCTGTGGTAGTTACAGTAACTTTTTCTGATCTCTGCTTCTCCAGAAAAGGCTGACGACATTCCAGGCCCGGTGAACTGGGAGGGACACGAGAACTGGGTGTTTCTGCGCTGGCCAGAGCCCCCCCACCCCAACGGTCTCATCCTAATGTATGAGATTAAGTTTAAACTGGCTGCAGAGGTAGGACAACATATGTGTGAATGTGCTGGTTTTGAAGCAACACCCAAAAAATACTGCTAGTTTTAAAGGCAACAACATTTATTAGAAACAAGAAACCCCCGTGTTTTCCTCCGTAGGTCTGAGGAAGACGTTTGTGGTTTCTCAGCTCCGCCTTTAACCACATTTAAAACAGATTTGTTTAACTAGAAGTAAAATCAGCTGTTTGACATTTCCTGTTGCATAATAGTCTTTCTGTGTGTGTGTGTGTGTGTGTGTGTGTGTGTGTGTGTGTGTGTGTGTGTGTGTGTGTGTG